CTCTCTCTCTGGCAGGTTCATATCTCATGGTATCCACCACTGCTACAGCTCGTTTCGGGGGGATGTCCGGGGGACCCAGACTGGGTTCTACTCCTCCTATCTCCTGTCGTGCAGCACGGGGGGCGTGGCCTGTGCTTGTCTCTGCGCCACTGTGGATCGCTGTGGTCGCCGTGGCATCCTGCTCCTTGCTATGACGATGACGGGCCTTGCTTCCCTGATACTGCTGGGACTCATAGAGTGTGAGTCAGTGTCATCGTGACTCCTGCTCCCCCTTGTGGCCGAGTGCGTGTATGACACAGTTGTTGCATGTTCATTCTTGCGTAGCCTCGTGCTGAGAATCGGTTCATTGCTGACTGACCTGGCAGGGAGGGTGCTGAAGGAGAGGGCATGCGGGCCTTTCTGCATCATTGAACGGGGACACTGCAATATCCCCTCCTCCCCTCAAAGTCCAGCTCTGAAGAGTAGAAATTGTTATCCAGACTGATGCCCTAAAGTATGTAATAAGAATTAATAACTGCTTATATAGCGCTTTCTGGACACTCCACTCAAAGCTCTTTTTGGGTAATGGGGATCCCCTTCTCCAGCACCAGTGTGCAGCCCCACCTGGATGATGCTCCAGTCTGCTCACACACTCCAGCTCTCAGTGGGGAGGAGAGCAGAGTGATGAAGACAGTTCAGAGAGGGGGGTTATTAGGAGGCCATGACTGGTAAAGGCCAGGGGGAAATTTGGCCAGGACACAGGGGTAACACCCCTACTCTCTTCGAGAAACACCCTGGGATTTTTAATGACCACAGACATCTCATCCTAAGGATGGAGCCTTTTTACAGTACAGTGTCCCCGTCACTACACTAGGGCATTAGGATCCACACAGACTGCAGGGTGAGCACCCCCTGCTGGCCCCACTAACATCTTTTCCAACAGCAACCTTAGATTTTCCCAGGAGGCTCCCACTCAGGTACTGGCCAGGCTCACACCTGCTGAGCTCCAGTGGGCTGCCAGTGTGAGTTGCTGGGTGACATGCTTCTGGCTATGTGGCAGTGAAGTGTGGGCTCCTGTCACAGTCCAGGATTACAATGACACAAACACTCTGTGAAAGCCCTGCTCACAGATTTCTGTAAAAACATCTTGCATGCGCAGAGAAAAACTGCTAACAATGAGTGCAGGGAGCAATTAGGCCAATATCGACTGCTAATAGATAAACAGAAGAGAGAAATAAAATACACAGTATTGGTTATCTACAGGCTACACCTTAAAAAAAGTTACCAGTCCTCCAACCACCACAAGGCCCTGCTGAGCCCAGAGCTGATCCAGCTGGTCCTGAAGCTCACCGACACCAACCAATCTCAGGAGAGCACAGCTGAAACAACACAAATCGCAGTCAACCCAATCACAGCACAACACAAACAGCATTACCTCGCACACTGGACACACACACGCACACAACACACACTGGACAGCATTATTTCTCACGCTGGGACACACAGACATGCACAGAACAAACCAAGCCCACTGGGACACTGACAACACAAACTTGACACCACTACCTCGCGCGCGTGCACGGCACACGCACCGGACAGGGCCGCCTCGCGCGCGTGCACGGCACACGCACCGGACAGGGCCGGCTTTGCCGGGCGAATGGGAGTCTTCCTTTTCTAAAGGCGCATCACCGACTAGGAGAGAAGGTCTCCAGTCCGAGGATTCCACAGCCGAGGAAATGGGAATTTCCTGTAATGAAATTGGACACGGAGCTCTCCAGACCCAGCTGCTGACTAACTAGCCAGACTCTTGTCTCTGAGACGGATCAGAACCAGATCCTCTGAGGAGGAGGAGGGTGATGGTGCTTCTTCTTTTTTATGTCTGCCTTCTGTTTCCTTCCTGCTCTGTCCTTTTACCCTGATTTCTGGTGAAGGTCTGCTCTTTATTATGATTAGCCAGAGTAATTCACCAGAAAATTCCCTTTGATCGCCTGTCTCAGTACGCTTATAGCGATGGGAGCACCACGTGACCCTCATTGCTTTGGAACTTTGTGCCCTCTTAACTCAAAATAGCAGCAGTAATAATTTAGCTTTAAATGTCTTGTGGCTTTGGCGACGCTAATTTGCTGGCCGTGCCGATAAAACTGGTTGAACTTGAGAAATGAGAAATTTAGTGTGACTGTGTGGCTTAGGTGCCCCCTTGTGGTGGAGAGCATGTATTATACAAGATGTGTTGTGCCTTGCATTTGATTTGCAGTGCTGTTGGTTTGTCGGGCTTCTCTTTTCAGATGAATGTGTGTAAGGCCTGATCTTCTGCCCCTGCAGTGATCCTCCTTCTCTCTCTTTCACAGACCTCAATGAGTGGGCGATCACCATCTTCTCTGTCCTGGGGCTCTTCTCCTCACAGGCTGCGGCCTCGCTCTGCGTCCTCTTCACAGCCGAGATTGTGCCCACCATCATCCGGTAGGACTGCCCCCTCCACCCCTCATTACAGTTACTGTACTGGAGTGTCCAGTCAGTGTGTCTGTATGAACCCCTCTCTCTCAGTGCAGTGTTAATGTACTGGAGTGTCCAGTCAGTGTGTCTGTATGAACCCCT